TAAGTTTTTGTACTCTGAACGTGCTGCCCTTCAGTCTGCCTCCCAACAGTCTTCATTCGTCACAACTACCCCATAACACCAACACCTCCTTTGTCATACAGAAACAAACGCAGTGCAGCACAAACCAGCTAGCTGCATTTCAGCACACTTCTTCTCCCAAAGCTCTGTATTTTAACCAAAGTCTCTTTAAACGAAATGCCATCTCAGCCACTTGAATAGGGAACACAAAGCAGATCTGCTGCTTTGCAGTGACGAATATCACTACCACAATGTATAGCGATAGGTATTTATAGGGACAAATATAACTACCTTGATAAATCTTCAAATAAATTACTTGAATCTGAAAGGGAAATAAGGTAGCATTAAATTAACCACTGTTCTTTTTTAGATTGAGTTCCTGAGACTGTCTCAAAAACCACATCTCAGACCATGTCCAGCCTGTGGGATGCAGGAATGCTTCCCATCCTCCAAGTCTTGGCATATGCTTGCCCTGCTGAGATGTGGAGTGAAAGACATGGGCCAGATCCTTCTATACCAGCAGGGAAGTGCGGTATAGGTCTCCTACCTCCATGAAAAGAAACTGATGGATTCAGGCCATTAATAAGCTATAAGTGGGGTCCCAATTCTGGAGACCTAAGGATTCAGGATGCCAGGCTATGCCATAGGAGATCTACCCCTCAAGTGCAAACTTCAGAATTTTAAACGCAAGAAAGCCCTGTAATCCAGTCCTGATGGGTCTTGGCACAAGTAAGCCTTGAGCTGCTCAAGCTGGGCTAGTTTCAGACACACCCTGAGAGAACTGGAAGCAGCCAAGGAAAGCCACATGAGCGGATATTTAGTGAACGGAAGGGAGGCAAGTCAGACCGTAATTCTGTACTGCTCTTGGCAGCTAAGTCAACTCTTGAATTTTGTCCACAATCTCTGAAAATGTGTTTAATTTACCTTTTGTGCTGGAGGTGCTGGAATGTGGAAGAGGGATGCTGGTTCTGCACGTTTGGATCAGTGCACACAACAACAGGAATCTCACATTACTGGATGGAGTTGCAACACTATTATCTCCTCCACTGAGGCCACGCTGCAGTCAGGTGAGAAGTTCATCCAGCTTGATGTTTTGTCTCTCATTATGGCCCTGATCACATCCGTAGTGGGTGAAAGCAACAAAAACATCACCCCGATTTGCCCTCCTATCCTCTACTGGGATTTAGTGAGCTGCAGGTTGCCACTGGTCCAGCTGATCTCCCTGATTTCTACTTCAGGTCTTGCAATGACCCTTAACAAATTCCACAACCATTTCTGCATTTTGAGAAAATGGATTTCATTTCTTATTTTTTTGCATCTTTATTCTGGAAAAGATGAAGAACAGTTACTGTTAATGCAAAATGAGCAGCCTTGGCAACATATATTCCTGTTTACTCAGATTCCAGGCTTGAGGGTCTGATAAAAACCCCAGTGAAGGTAACGGGAATCTTTCCAGAGCAGTTTTAGCTTTAGTCTAAAGACACAGACATGTTCCACTCCTAGAATCCCATGGGTCCATAATCCTATTCAGACTTTTCCTGAAGAAAGATTAGCAGAAAGATCTACAAAATCTACTTATTTCACAATACTAAACTGCTTCCAGTGCATTTCCAGATGTCAAATTCCCTCAACATTCCCAATGCAGGAGCCAAAGTCTTCAGCTTCTATCTTTGACAATTTTCACTGTGCACAGAGGGATGCATGATTACAAAAATCTGTGGTGGCTTAACTTAATATGAAAGTAGGACAAAGATAAAATAACATGCAAGTATTAACCATTAATTCAGGGAAAACCTAGCACTGTGATAAATGGTGCCTAAATATGGATGTGTTTAAGTCACTGCTGAAATATAATAGCTAGGATCAGCAGAGCAAGGCAATTTAAATCAATTAACACAGCTCCCATTATCCCTGTTAGTAAAGATCAGTTGTTTCTAAATCTGTTTTGGTTTTTTTTTTTTTAATGCTGCCTACTCCAATACTTGCTGTACTACCCAGAACCTCAGCTTCTGGAGGCATAGGATTACATCAGCTTCTCAGTTGTCATTTTCTTCTCCCACTAAAGCAGGCTATAAAAATGGAAACTTGAAGCAAGCTCACTCGAAGCCCTCATAAAGCCAGGAGAAAAACAAACCCGCTGTATTTTTCTTAATACCATGACTTTTAGGAAATCTCTTGGGTATTTTTGTTTTCTGGGTTTAATTACAGAAGTCAGAAATACTGGAAGAGAGGCTGTGTCAATGACCAAACTTCTGAGTCAAATTAAAAAGCAGTGAATTATTCACACTAGATGTTAACTCTACATAAACAGAAATGTAGGGGGCAACAAAATAGCTATGAGGAGATGATCAGAATAGGATCACTGCAAGATTCAGGAAGTCTAAAGATGGGGACCAGAGTGATGTTTCTAGGTCTCATGCTCCCAATGCTGCTGATTACAAGCAGCAAGGCACTCTTTCCCTGAAGGAGGTCTACTGAGAAGCTCTGGGTGCAGCTCAGACTCACACTGACACCAAACTGCTGCTGTTCTACAGCTTTTGCTAGACTGAGTCAAACCGAGCTCAGATAGAAAGAACCAGGTGGGTGGGATGTGAACCTGCTTTTAATCGTCTCCTCTAAATTTATCTGTCATCCTTCCTTCCTTGAAATCCTTATCACTGTAGTAGCACAGTTGGTGCTTGCTAATCCTAACAATTAATATGAATAAAAAGAACTGTAAGTACTGGGAAAGGGAGAAAGACTCACAAAAGTGGGTGACCTGATCCCGCTGACCCCATACAGATGCAGAGCATCTCATTCTCCCCCATGACCTGACTTGAAAACCTGCTTGGGGAAAGCCATATAGGAGAGAGAGATAATCCAAAAGTAGGCTGTTCTGGCAGTGTGAAGGGGAACGGATGGCTCTCGGTGGGATGGTGGCAGTAAGCCCACTTGTTTCTCTGTTCAAACAACAAATTAGTTGGCATACACACCTCACTGAGGATTTGCTGACATGCTTTACAGACATACCCAGAAAGAAGGTCACAGTTTGAACCTGTAAATTACTCACGCGTTTTAAGTTTCAAATAAACCTGTAGATTTTTTGTACAATAGTACAGCCATGTGCCTTTTAAACCAAAAGCTCAGCAGCACACAACACTGTCATCTTCCATTTTAACATACACAGCCCTGCAACGCAGCTCAGTTCAGCTAGGAAAGCTACATCATTCACTGAGAGTCCTGGCTACGCTGCTCTGAAAGATGCTTACCTACAGCAGGAACAATGGCAGTGGTTCTGGTGTTGTAACAGCTAATGACTGTAACCTGCTCTCAGCACAGTAATAGCAAGCTGAAACAAAACAACCTAAAGCAAAACATTAATGGGACACTACATTTCATTGCCAATGCACACAACAGTAGACTAGAGCAGCTCACATGTTAGTGGTGAGAAACGTATTACGAGATCAGTTTGATGCAATGTCTGCACTAGCTATGCTGTACAATCCACCACACAGGAGGACTGGATGCATTGCATCACAGAGTAACACTGTGTGGGTTGATACAGTAAGGTTTGGAAGGGGCAGAGCAGGGTGTTGTATACAAATATACATTTACAGGCCAGAAACATTCCTGTAGCCAGTCGCCCATATGCCAGTGGTCTCTTTAATTTTTATACTGCTTGCTTCAGTTTTACCTGGTTCTGCTGAAAGCAGTGTCATCGCTTCCAGACACTGGATGTGCCTTAGTATTTCCAGTTATCACTGCAGCATCCTTCATCCTGGCACGTTCGTGTGCCCAGCTTGCCAAGATGTGCACAGCTTGGGTTCTCGGTTTGACACAGAGGCTCCTCCTCACACTGGAGATTCAATGGTCACCACTGGATAACAACTGAGTTCCCCTAAAGGCTGGAATTCAATACCTAACAACTAAACGATTTACAGGTTTCAGAGTAAATTCCTGGCCAGTGAGTATATTCTTTTTTCTTACTGCTGTTCAATCCATCAATGTGTGGTTACATTTTTACTGCAAAGGATGGAGTATTGTTTTTATTAGAGAATACCAAATTGTCAAAAAAGAGTATTTTTCAGTAGAGTTTTAAATACTCAGAGGAGGTAAATTTGGATCCTATTCCTGGGTATGTGATTTTTCACTTAAGGTGGGAATACGATAATGCATTGTTGGTTGATTCTAAATAGTACTGAGCTTCTACAACATCAGCTAAAATAATATGCTCATCAAAACACAGGCAGAGGAAGGAAATCCATATCAAATACCTGATCTTGGATTAAAATAGAGCAGCAATAGTGTCAAAACTTTCAATGAGATGCTTAGCTGAAATAAGGCAGCAGTTTCAGAAGAACTGTACCAAACTTGTACCCACTACAGTTCACATGTAATTCTCTGGCCCCACAAGTTTCACTCAACTCAGACAAAGTACCAAAGCAAGGTAATTAAACTATAGTATACTTTAAAAAAAAAAAAAAACAAAAAGAAAAGGAGGAAGGAGGACTTTTTTTTTTTTTTTTTTTAAATCAAAGTTACCTTTTTGGTCAAATTTCACCACTGATAAAATTCTCAATTACCTATTTGCATCTAGATCCCACTAAGACTAACCAACATAAGAAACAAAGTTGGAACAAAAGCAAATAGTGCTTGGCTTGTGAAGCTAAATACTTATCACCCATGATTCTCAGTTCAGTGTCTGAACTTTGTGTAAAGTCTGGTAGCTTTCAGTGACCATACGAGCTTTCAGCAGATTATCTAGGCAGCACTGATACATTTAGAGTTTGTTGGAAAGGCAGGTATATAATTTCAACTGATATGATCTGAAATTCCTTTTTTCTCGATGGAAAACAAACACAAGTAACATATCAACAAGATGCACAAGCTTTTCTTCTTTGTCCATTCAGAATTTTTAATTTGGCTAGTAAATAATGAGAAATAACTTAAACCTGATCTTGAGATCATTAACAGTTTAAGACAAAAGCTCTTAATTCTTGAAATCATTTCATGCTGTCTTTAATAAAAGAGTTAATGCAGATTCTTTCTGCTTCCTGAAATGAAGTGAGAAGTTTATGGTTCTTACATATTTGAACAGTCCCAACACCAGAGACACACAAAATGTTATAATGTACTTTAATCATTACACCACCACATTATTATTATAAACCTTTTCAATAACACTCAGTATAGAACTCAGTAAAGAGCACTGTCTACTACTATGCACTGTCAAATATTTCTGGTGGTACTGGGAACTGACTACAGTGTTTTATTTATTTTTTCTTAAATCAAAATTTAACTTACACATTCTGAACTTGTACATAATACACAAGATTGTACTTCCATATAGGCTGCAGAGACATTCACTCTTTTTTTTTTTTCTGATTTGTATATAAGAGTAAATTTTCTGTAACAATATGAAAGAAAATTAATAACTTATGTATCTAGCTAGGCGTTTAGTATTTAATTTTTAATCATATTAATCAAAAGATGACTGAAAAAAATCGAAGTTAAATATTGTGAAGTGCACAAAATCTAAAATATAGGGACTTTCCACAGTACATTATACTAAATCAACATATAACAGACTCAAAGCTGAAAAGCCAAAATCTTCATTTAAAAATTTAGCGTTTCTGACATCATTTTCCACCATTCCATCAGCTCTTCTTTCTCCTCTTCTTTTCTTTCAGACAACGACTCCAGTTCAAAATCAACCTGAATAAGAGAAGCAATCAAAATATTGGTAAGAGAAAGAAGTGTGTGCTTTTAAGAGTCATTTACTAAAAGTTGTTTAACACTGCCATAGGCCCTAGGGAAAGACTTTCTATTTTAGGATTTATTCCACAGCCTCTTGTGCCTGATTTAAGTATGTGCAACACTTCCATATCAATACAATAAACATCCATAAAGCACACAGAGGTGCATAATAAAATTTCCAAAAGAATCCAGCTATCTTTGGCTTGTCCTAAGACTTCAAAAACGACAGGGCAAGGCAATGAAAAATAATTTATAGGTACGTGCATCTTCTAGCATATAACATGCATCTCTTTCAGATAATGCTAACACCTAGCAGGGCAGACTCCCAACATACCAAAATACATACTCTATTTTATGTCATTATGAAAATCCAGGGAGCTTTTCTGGCATATGGTTCACTACTGTGGATATGACATATGAGCACAGTAAATTCCCAGTGTATGTTACACACTGAAGAAATAAGCATCTATTGTAAGTTTTAGGAGCAGACTCCATACCCACATGGAGGATGAATAAAAAATGCTTCTGAACTCTTAAAACAGAGCCTCAGTCTTATTCACCATACACACTGGGTATGAAGCACAGCTCCATCACTGTCTTTCTGCACAGAGCTGAGGACAGTTTTTAACCTGTGCAGGTAGTCACTTGACAATCTAGACTAAAAAGACAAATGAAAATCTCAAGACTGCTTACTCCTTATGCCACACTACTTAGAGGTATGCTGTGATTGCCTGATTTCCTAGCCACATAGCTACTAATAAAAAAGAACAAATATCTCAATATCACCTTTCTCTGTGCCAGCTCATTTCAAATGAGACCATAAGGAAAAGAAATGAGTTTAAATGAGACTGTTCTCCGTGGCTTACACAGCAAGTACTAGAAAAGCAGATTTCCAGACTGGCTTCTAAAACAGTATAAAATATTCTGAAAAATAATCTCTAGGCTAGGCTACACATATCAGAAAGGAGGAAAAAAAAAAAAAAGTTTGCTTTTTTGTTTTGTTTGTTTCAATATAATAGATGCTAAACAGACATGCATATGATCACTTACCACAACAGCAGGACTAAAGGGCACAGCTACTTTTTTAGTTATTGCTAGATAACCTGGTGCTGAGGCTGTGAGTTTGTAGTTTCCAGGCACAAGCAGTCTCCAGTAATCACCATCCTTGGCTACACAGAAGATGAAAGAAATAAAATCAAATAAATATGCATGAAATGAATTACGCAGCCAAGGAACAGGGACTGTCTAGCTTGTCAGCAACTGCTGTGTTCCTGTCAGCCTTCTTTCAGCTGTCTGAAAGAAATCTTCTGTAAAGACTGTATGAATATATCACCACAGATTTTCTTCTTTTCAGGTTAACACAACAAGCATTTTTAATTCTGAGGTTGTGCTGTATCCTCCTTGAAAGACTTTGCCTTCTGAAGCTGAAAGCTCTCAGCACACTGAAGAAAAGGGCAATTTGGGACATTATCCCAGTATAAAAGTGCTTCTCCAGCTAATGCACAGCCTGTTTTAAGCATCTCAGTTTGCCTGCAGTGCAACGTAGATTATTCACATCCTTCACTCAATATTCTGGAAATTCAAATTGAAATTGATTTTATTCTCCTCAGATTCAAATAAATGCGACCACTTTTCTCAAGCTATAGTGCAGAGAAAGCTATAAATGATCACACCCTGGAATATTCCATATATAATGTCTCTGAAAGTATCCAATCATTTCAGTATCTAGGCAATGTCTAGGGCTTTTTTCCTTCTATTTAACTGAACAAAGAAATGAAAGCTTGATCCACCAAGGTCCAGAATATCTCTTTGCACAGCTTATTCCATCATTTTTATCCCTAAAAATTACTCTCAGCCTTACATCTTTTTGCTTTCCTACACACTGTGAAAGAAGGTGGCTAATGTTACTGTGGGCTGCTCTCCTCTTTAGCAGAGATGCTGCCCTCTTGAAGGTGATGTGAGAACACAGCAGAGCCAGCTGAGAGTCTGCCAATCCCATATCATGGCATTCTGTACCTCTCTAAGAGTACAGTAAGACATATCAATGGAAAATGACCATAATGTAAAATACAAATGCTTTATTATGCATGATCTTTTTTTTTTCCCTAAAAAGTATCTTGTAAAAACAAAAGTTTTTAAAACTTGTCATTTAGAATAAGAAAGCACAGTCAACAAAGAAGACTGCAAGTCAGCATTGTGAAAACCACCTTTGAACTCTCTCCTTGAATAAAGCGCAACACCAGCCAAAAGCTGACCCAATTTTCTGTGAACACCAACGTGACATTTTTCTCTTTCAACTGCCCTTCTTAAAAAGAAAAGAAAGAAAAGAAGTTCAGACATGATGAGGTATGTTCACATTGTAATTTAAGTTCTGGACTGCAATTTAGCCTTTCAGCTCAAAACAGCACTGCTAACAGCATTGCCAACAAAACTTGAAATTCTGGCAGATTTGTGAAGCGCCACCACAAATCAGAAGACAAAATAAGCATGAATAACCAACAGCCATCAGTAGCACTTCACAACAGAGATCCACTAAGCCCCAGCAACTGTTCTTCATCTCCTCTGACAGCAAAATACTAGCGGAATATTCATGACATCCTGCAGGCAAGGAGTTTCTTGGGGGACAACATGTTTTCCTAGGTTCAAAACTATCATACCTTTAGGCATCAACTAATAAGATCTGAAATGACTCCAGTCTGCAAAGGAAAAAACGTGGCAGTATATTCCAGCACTTAGCTTCTTGAGGCACAAAACTTACCTGATGTAATGTCATGGCTTATCCCCTCCACAGAAATTGTAGCATTTGCTATTGGATTGCCCTGAAGATCTTTAACAAAACCCTTCACTCCTCGGTGAATCTGAAATAATAAAAGGCAGAAGCACATACAAAATCATTTACCAGTTCCTAAGAGAAGTAATTTGCATCAGTATATTGATATATATCATATTGATATATCTAAAGATGCATGCTGACAACTATCAAGGATAATTCTTAATAATTATATACATTTATATATATATTCCATTAATAGTCTTTAATTTTTCTGTATGTAATAATGATTAAACATCAAGGTAAAAGAATTCAGCTGATAGTTATTCTAATTCCTCCACGTTATGCAAACATTTTTCAGAAACACACATCAAATCACAAAACATAAACACTGACTTGAAAGCACTGGTGACTGGGAATTAATAAATGTGCTGAAAAATTTTCAAAGACAGGCTGAAAATAAAATTTGAAAAATAGAAGTTTCACCAACTGTAAGAATTTAGGGCAGGCAATGGATAGAAATGCTTATAAGTCAAACACTAACAAGGTTAAATGTGGGTACTTGGGCTTTTTCCCAAAATGTCCAGGGCTTGAGCTGAGACCACCTGGAGTCACAGCACTCCCCACTGAGCTGCAAAAGAGCTACAATGGATCAGGTCTTTGTTCCTTCTTGCCTCACAGGCAATATGCTCCAGGCTGCAGCACAGCATCCACTGAGCTTTTGGGATCTCCAGCTGAAAACCTTCTCTGTTCAGTTTCAGTGACTGAACCAGATTCCCTCATTTCTTTAAAATCAAAGGAGGAATAGCAGTGGCACTGATGTTTAAGGTTAACACTTGAGAACAGGGACCAAGATTCACCATCACTTCTCACTTTCTCCCAAGAAAACACCAGGATTATCTGAACTCTGTTCCTAGTGAAATTAAAGCACTGGTGTGACTACAGTATGTGAGGAGACCAGATTGGCTGAGAAAAGCAGAAAGTACACATTAGCACTGTACTGGCAATCACGAGGGAGCTGGAACACTGGGCTGGTCTTGTTACTTTCTAAGATGCCAGGCAGATCATCTGAACTTCAGAGATAAAGCCAGCAGCTCTGCAGGAGCTAGGAAGTTGACAAATCAATCTCTTACACATTAGTAATTAGGAACATGCAATGACACCACAGTTTTAAATGATACAAAGAAAATTAACCCATGCAGCCAAGGAGCTGAGCAACATCTAGATAGCTGAGACGTGGATCCCATGATAAATTCCAGCCCACATACTACTTTCAAAACTGTTTAACTCAAGCATTTCAAATGATGAAGTATTTCACATTTCTAGCTACGTAAAGTGGTCCTGCAAAAATAAATTCTTGAAGAAGAGAACATATTACTTGACCAACTCTGCCAACAAAGTATGTTTCTGATTTCATAATCCCAAGTGTGCAGCCATTGATGCCAACAGATACGTTTGTGATCTTTAAGTAACAATATCCAGATTTCAGAAATTTGAAACTGCCTCAGTTTGGCAGATACGCTCCCTGATGTTATACTGAGCTGCCACCTGCAGCCTAACCTGGTCATCTAGGCTCCCTTGTGCATTCAGCCATTCATCCCATCTCCTGTACACACACACTTTTATCTGTAGAGGGCAATTTATCTCCTTGTGCACACACCAATGCTGGTGGGATGGATTTATACCCTGGAGATGTGTATTAGTAACCATTCAGGAGGTCAACTTAAGTTAAATATCTGTAAAAACTGTAATGGATTCCATTTTTTTTTTTTTCCTTTCTTTTCTTTTTTTTTTACACCCTTACATTCAGAAGAATCACACAAGATTATAACCTGGGAGACATGTAAGAATTACGTACTGATCAGATTAATATGAGATATCAAAGTAGATGTTCACTCAGCACAACGTTCAGAAGTTTCACATACCATAACTAGAGTTTTACCATTCTTTTTCTTTTTTTTCTTACCTGCTCAATGTAATTGATGAGGGAGTTCTTGTTGTCCTCCCAGTAGCCCTTCAGAGTTTCTTCAGGTGGGAATTTTTCACAGCTAAGCTCCACTGTGATTTCAAAGCAGTTGCTGCTGAGGTAATTGAAATCCTGCATTCCTACAATGCCAGAAAAGAGTTATGAATGGATTCTGCATCGTTCCTAAGTAACTGGAGCAAAGAGGGACATGTGAGATGCTGGACATACTAAGAAAATAATACCTATAAGTACAATTGGTACAGTTCTATTTAATCAGCTTAGTTCTGAATTGAATGATGTTACAACAGAGAAACTAACAAAACACTTAACCCTCCAAAACACTTCCCTCCAGGGAAAGTTTAGAAAAGACATGACTATGATGTTGCACCTGACCTGCATGCTCCTATCTGACACATGTTTTTCAGTTGCTGGCATAAAAACAACTTTTTTTTTCCTCACTGGGAACTTAAAATCGTTTCCAATTATGTCCCAAATGTCTCCTGATGAAAGTAAAAGGTGATCATTTTGTAATTGAAAAAGAATGACAATTAACTGTAGAGCAAATGAAGCATGATAAAATGCCTTTGAAAGAAAGACTGGTAAATACTGGTCAAAAACAAGATAAATTTCCTGAAAATGTAATATTTCGACTCAGTAACATTTTACTTGAAATAGCATCTGTTTTCTAAAGAATATTCTGAATTTGGTCAAGCTTTTGTGCACAGATCTCAAATATGTAGGATTTTCCACACACACACACACACACACACACAAAAAAAAGCAGACATGCTACAAATTTTTTCCATATGTAGTATTTTTTCCATAGATAGACTGCAATATCTTTGAAAGAGAAACACTGGACAGAGTTCAATTAATTAAAAGAAATCTCATTATAAATGTACCTTTAACCATACAAATTTAAAAATATATACAATAGCATCATCAACAGGTGTAAAAACCTGGTCAGAATGGCATATTTTGCATTTCTGAGCCACTCCTCTCTCTGCAATGGGAATGTTGGCTACTGCAAATCAGTCAACAGATAACCAAGACAGTTCCAGTTCTGTAAGTGGATTAAGAGCTGGGGGAACATGACTGTCCTTAGGAAGGTTACAATTACATTCTTTGCAGATGCTGATAACAACTAAGCTCTTGCTTTCCCAATCTAGGTAGCAAGCAGTCAGTGGGCTCTCAAATTGAAGGCTGAAGAGAGAAAGGTTACCAAGCATTCTGAGCATCTCCATAGATGCTCAAAGGATTTACAAGTAGCTACTTCATTCAGCCCTGTGTTGATCTGTGTGAGCTACGTAGGAGACCTGATATGATCTCTTTACTAAAGCACTGGCACTATGCAGAGCAATGTCCAGAGAGCTGATGTCACATCCAAAAGAGAACACCAAAGGCAGTGAACAGATTGAGTCAGGAGGGATTTTGTCAACACATACAGATGAAGAGTCTATTTTCTGCCAATCAGGCCACAGATTTTTAACTACTGATAGGAATAGAGACTGTTCAGACTCATTAAAAAAAAAGTTTTCTATTTTTAAGCCTGTTTAGATGGCTGGAAAATGAGGACACAGAAGGCAAGATGTGCTCCTGAGAGCACATCAGAGCTGTCCCACCATGCAGAATATGCAATGGATCATCCACCTGTACACAGCAAGAGAGCAGCACTCATGAGTCACCCTGACAGCTGACTGCCAGGCAAGTGTTCCAGACAGCAGATAATGCTGCTTTTCTTGATTTTTGCATTTCTTCTACAAGAAAGAAAGAAATCATGAAGAAAATAACATGATGCCAAAGAGCATAACATAATTTTATTGTGATGCCAACAACCCCTGAACACCACTGCTTCAATACTTGGGTATTTTCTCCCTCTCCACCTCCCAAAGCAAGGTGACACCAGGGATGCCCTAACAATTAAGAAGGAACGTAGTTCTGATTTTGTGCAAAACAGTCATACCTCATAGTTTGTTTCCTGGCTCTTGGCATGGTCTCCTGAAAAAAGTTCTGCCTACATCACTGATATACAGGTGATGATCTGAATCTCTGGCATAGAAAATGGGTTAAAGATAATCTGGATTTGAACTATGCCCTACTACATCTGCAGTCTGGTTGTACTGGTCTGGCTACAATTTGCACTCTTTATCTGCCTGTTCAGTACAATAATTAAGTGCAACACCCAATAAATCAACACATTTCAAAAGATTTATTCAACCCTGCAGCAACTTTGATACCACTGCCCAAGCTTCTAACTGCCCTATTCCTCATTGGTATGCACCCAGGATATATCTGAGGTATCCACATCACCACATACCCAAAGCTTCTCATTTTAACAAAAAAAAATGGAGTGTGATGTGCCATTGGAATCCAGGCATCAGAATTACCAACACTTTGAATTCAAAGCTGTATCAGAAAGCTGGTTGTACTTGAACACATGTAAAGCCAGTAACTTCCAGCAAGACAGGATAGAGCCTTGTTCACAACATGTGCCTCCTACACGTGTTGTATAAAATCCCTAAGAAATGTTCCTTAGTATTGCTTTCAAAGCTGGTAGCACGAAAGGTAAATGAAGTTAGATGTGAATGAACAGATTGCCAAGAGTGATTTAAGATTATCTGAAAACAGAAAGATTCCTAAGCAATAGCCTACGAGCACAGCAGTGGAAACTGCACTGAAATGCTATTTTCATAATGACATTAGGATCTGATAAGGTTCTGGTGGCACTGTAATGACTGAGCAAGCAGAACATGCTTATGGCTAGTCAGTAATTCATTACTATCTGCTCTTCTCATTTATATTTCCAAATATCTATTCCACACAAAAAGTACATTAAAAAACCATTATTGGTGTTGAAAAGCTTTGCACTTAATAGTGAAGGAAATTCCAAAATTACTACATCATTAATTACAAGCTGATAGAAATCAAACCAGCATTAAAAAAAACCATTTTATATACAAGTTTGTTTTTGCTTGTGGCCTGATGTGGCCTTTTCCTACAGGAGTACAAATTGCTTTTCAATAGCTTACATCACTGCCAACTTTGAGCATACTACCATATGGATAGCAAAATGTCACCAGTACAACAGATGACTTCACTGCCACTTTCTGTCTCCTAAGTGAGCTTTCTAGACTAAAGGAATAAAATTGCAATAAAATTTGAACTAAGTAATGTTTAGTTATTTTCCTTAGCTCTAGATGTTGGAAAGAACTGCTTTCACTGAACTCCTTTTATGTTTTTGTTGTTGTTTTTCTTTTAAGTCACTCTGTCGCTCTTACTACCATGAAGGTTTTGGTCAACAATCACAGCTTGCCAGCTGACTTTTACACTTGGGAAAAACAACAACAAAAAACAAATTCATGCTGTATGGTTCACAGTTATCTCCACTGCATCTCTCCATTTTTTACTGCATCATATTAAGATCATAGATTCTGGTTAGAACTAAGATTTCTTAATTCTTGCTTTTGTACAAATACATGAAAAAGAAAAAAGGGCTCTCTTGGGCAATTTTCAGTCTAATTTAAAATAAGATCCAAAAGAAGGAATTAATTCAAGCTTTCCAACAAGTTTTTCCAGTGGAAAAGTGTTTCTTTGTCATGTGCAGTTTAGTCAGAATGAAAGCACTGCATCAAAACAATGGAAAGAGAGCATTTTCCTTAGAAAAAAAATAGAGGCTAAAAGTTAAGTAGGTCCACATTTTCATAGCTAACATTCAATATTTCACTAAGTTATTTTTTGATTGAACTGACAATTTAATTAAACATTAAATCTTTCAATATTTTGTTCTTTTTTTCCATATCACACAAATTCTGTTTTATCAAATTGTGTGAAACCTTCACACAAAGGGAAACTTTTGCTTTTCGACGATATTTAGAAATGCCTAAATTTTACCCCAATCTCTGGTGTTGCTGTGGTACCAGAGCAGTGATATTCCAGTCTGAGGGAATGAGTTTCCAGAGTGAAAACTCAAGCTTAAAATAGCCACCTGAGTCAGCCATGGGTCTCACCTCCTGGGACACTGTACCATGCACCACCATTTGTCGTTCCATCCACAAAGCTGCTGTCGTCATCATTTTTACGACACGGTGGTCTGTTTGGATCAGACATAGCAGGGTTTAAAGATGAGTAACTGCGAGCCAGGCTTTGAAAAATAGCATCATCAGGGCAGGAGCTGTATTCGTGAGCACTGCCTGGGGAGAAAAGAAGGTCCAGGAACAAGAATTACCAAAAGACAGTCATACAGGCTGGGGTCAGAACCGAGGTTACCTGTGCTGCACCTTCAGGATGGTGCTTGGAAATTCTCTGTCTGCCAGTAAGTGTTCTATGGCACTATCAACTAACAGGGTGTTATTTGAATCACACTAACATTTCTCCAGTCCTTAATCAATTGTCTGTATCAGGCTACCCTGTTATAAACGTGAGTGTTCATATCAGCCTTAATACTTATTAAAATATTCATTTCAATGTGCACCAAAAAATCTAAGGCATTCTAGGCTTTCCATTCTTCTTAAGAAAACAGAACATGGAAAAATGTTTCCACTTAAAAAGCTGTACAGCTTGGTATTCCAAGAATTTGCAATTAAACTATTGCAGGGTAGACTGAAGAAAGTCAATTACCAACAGTATCATCACATCACAATCATTTCAGTGGCAGAAACAGCTGTGTGCTAAATGATAACATCACTACCTCAAAGTGATCCTTGTTTTTATATGACTAATACTGAAGAAACAATAATTGCTGTTTTTATTAGCATATTGCTTTCAGAAATCCTCTGTAAAAGTGCAAGTAGAGAAGCCTTAGATCAGACAGACAGTCTAAACACATCTCTCTAGCTTCACTTAGCAAGGTACAGATGGCCTCAGCTAATTTAAGACCTAGGATGCCTTTATTAAATGACAGATCATGATTCCCTCAGGCATTCCATCACCTTTCTGATGCAACTCTAGCAAAACAAGATATCTGTCTTCAAAACTAGATAACATGGTCATACCGTGACTACTTTTAAACATGTTATTAGTCAGTGAGTAACAATTAATGAACCATAAGTCATCACTGTCATTTCATGATGTTTACAAAGTGGATCTCAGGTAGCACTGATGTAAGTACATGACAACATAATACAGAGCATTGAATAATGTTTATAATAATAAATATGGGGAAAAAAAGCATAGAATAAATATTTCTATCTCCTCATATCTACGTACCACTCCGAGTCTCATCATAAGGGTAGTTTGCAACAAGGTCTCCTCCATGAAGATTGGCAGAGAGCACAAAGGGAATATCCATAATCCAGTGAATGACACCTTTTGTTTCAGGAGCAAGCTTTAACAAAATAGCATTACCAGCAGTTAATTGATTATTTAGTGCAGAGACTTAGTTACTTGCATATACGTGATTTAGTTATTATCACATATGCTGTGAAATCATGTAAAGGAAGAGAGCTGGATTAGTCTTTTACATCAGAACTTGGGTAGATTCATATCAGCCTTAAATCTGGTGTAAATTAGATCAGAATGAGGAAACAGATAAGGTTATCTCATTATTGTTTTTTCTTCATATTATGATTACATCTAAGCTAAAACTAAAACATAAAACCAAGGATAATAATTCAAAGTATGAGTTGGTTGGACATAGTCCAGTTCTCTGCACTGAAAGTAAAATTACTTCACTGAATAATTTGAATCTGAAGAAAGAAAAGGGCTATTAATGCCATCGGATCAATAAATTTGAAATGATGAAAAAAGAGAGAGCAAAACAGTTACACAAAAACAGAATCACAAAGACTGCACACACGGCTTCAAGGGTTGGCTGTGTACGCAAAATGGAAGAGAGAGGCATGCAAGAAACTTGCTCCCCAGCCTCTGCTTACCTTGGGATTCTGGTCCACAGCCTTCTTCATGTTTTTCAAGAGGTGATTGTTTGGGCCACCCTCCTTCTCATTAACATAGACTATCCTATCCAGATCAGGGAAATTTCGGTTCAGATCTATCCCCTGGGCATTACTTCGACCAACAAACCAGTCTTTAAGTTCACCGGGCTAAATGAGGGAAAGGAACAGAAAGAGAAGGGAACTTGGCAGATTCAGGAGGTTAGGTATCAGTTTTTATGTAGGTATATTTACCAATGTAAATTCACATCATGTTCTTACCTTCCACGTTCTCAAGAGTAAGAATGGACCACGTGGGAGTAAAAGCAAAATAAACCCAAAGTGTCTCAGAGGAGGGAATCACTCCCATTATAACAAGTCTGGACTAAAGACAGGCAAAATTACCATCAGACTTCCCAGTGCTGTGCCTGTTGAGCCTGCCCTCAGGACATGGCTTTTCCCCATTGCCTCATGTGCATGCTTTTGCCTTCAGACCTTATTTCTAAGAGCCTCTGAGCAGCTGTGGGTGCATCCACCAGCTGCAAGGCACATTCGCACTTCCTTCATAGTTCTAAATGGCTTCAGGACAAAGAAGGACATTAATCTTTATTTTTCTTGAGTTTTATTTTTGTGGCAACCGTCAGCTTCATCTGCTGCAATGGTGGCACCAAACAAAGATGCAGAGAAAAGTTCTGCAGAATCTTTCAGCTGCTTCTTCACATGAGATGTGATTTTGCAGTAAGGAAATGCCTTCAGCATGCATAGTTTTCCTCAGCTTGTCTCTCTAAGCTCTCAGTGCTCTGTGAAATAGGTTTAGGCAGATTTTTGGTCTTAGTCTTGGGATATATTAAATGTAGTGTCACACACTGTGCGTAAAGATGCTGCTAAATCAGAACTAAAAGCACTAAAAGAAACTGCACTGCAAATAATTGGTAATTTTAAAACAAGACTTGTAAAAGCAAACGTACTCTGGCTAAAAAGTTTCAGATTATCTTATTACTGAATCTCTACAGTGAGAGATTTCAATCAAGTGGAATAATGCACCAATTTGAGGACAACTCCTGCTTTATTACCACTAGAGGGAGACATCCTCATGGACATGGGTTAAAACAGGTCTCAGGTTTTTGAACACCCTCCTAATAGCCTGCTGAATGATGAGCTTAATAGAGTTTAGGTTACTTAACCATAAATAAATAGTCACATTAAAAAAATTCCATATTTATATATCTAAATATATAGAGAAATCAACATGACTTGTAGAACAAGAAAATTGATGTTTTCCTTTAGAATAATAATACACACTAGAAACGTGACAGAACAGTATCCTATTTGTCCTCTATTTGCTAACCATGCACTAATGCTCTTTACTGAGTCTTCATCTTAAACTAAATACTAAATTTTCTTGACTAATAGCACTTAGCTTAACCTAAGTACCTTATGCCTAAAATATAGATTAAGAGTTGTTTTTATAAAAAAACATGGCTTAGATTCCTTGTTTTGAGATATTTCACATAATGCAAATAATTCACATAAATGTATTTAAGTTAGAATATTAGACAAAACATCAACTTATTTCCTCTCTAATACTTTGGAAACATGATGTTTTCCTGCAAGTTACTTGTTCAGGAAGGAATTTTGGTCAGCAAACTCAGATGAAAGAATAGGCATGAAGCATAAACATCATTACATTTTAAAATGAAGTATATTCATTTAAAACAGAGATGGCTGTCTGTGGAAAGCCCAAGCATGATATCTGCTTTGTTAAAGCCTACTGTACTATTAGACAATAAATTATGCTGCGCTATTCAGTGATTCCCACAGAGTTTATATACTTATAAAATAAATTAAGGTGCCATTTTGATCCTCAGGTTGATACAGAATTACAGAATCACTTGAATAGGAAGGGACCTTTAAAGGCCGTCTAGTCCAACCCACTGCAACGAACAGGGACGCCTACAGTTACATCAGGTGCTCAGAGCCCTGACCATCATGACTTTGAAAGTCTCCAGGGACAGGGTATCCCTGGACAACCTGTGCCACTGCCTCACCATCCTTAGGGAAAGAAACTTTTTCTTTATAACCAGTCTAAAATACATAGATAGATATTGTAGTTTTACAAACCTGCGATGCTGCCTTCTCAAAGCCATCAGGATTCAGAGATGGCATGATATGGATACGTGTGCTATGGATCAGGTTGATAATAGTTTCGTTGCCTTTCTGGTATTCATTACACAAGTACTGAGCCAAGAAGATGAGCAGCTCCCTTCCAACAGCTTCATTCCCATGCATATTCCCAACATATTTAAATTCTGGCTCTCCTGCAAGAGAAAGAAGAAACATGTCTTAGAGTAGCTAAAAAAAAACCAGGCATGGACTGCATCACAGTACAACACAGACGACTCTACTGCAGTGACTACATTTTGTCACAGCATCCCCAGGAAGCTACAAGCCTCTTTTAGAAAAGTGGATCTAAATCTTTTTTCTCCTAAGCTCTGGCTAAACAAATAGTAATTTACATTTGGTTGTTTGCCAAAGCCAGAGAAAGAATACCAGAGGACAATACCCTATTTCGAAATAAATGCTAATCATAGCCATTAACACCACTATTGTTGAGATATAATGCAATTGATGCCTCAGTAACACAAAAAGGTGTCCTCATTTTAAAATACACAAACTGACACTAACAGAGCTTCTTATCCTTAATGTTCTCGCCAAGATCAGGTTAACCTTGTCCCACTACACCTGCATCAAACTGCAATTCTTCTACCAAAATATTGCCAAGAAACAGCTGCTGATCCTAGTGATCTGAAAAATCCAAAGCAGTTGCTTCAGATATTCAGCTCGGACTTTATAAAGAAAATGCAATGACCTAACTCATGGATCATTTCTGCTGAACATTCCAAAAAACATTCCATATATGTACCTATCGTACCAACCATAAATTCTAATGAATCACATGAATTATTGTTTTATATATTGAACATATACAAGGATGTTTAATTATTTATTTAATATTGGCTTTAATACATATATTTTTATATATTCATTTACCTGTGTATGTTCATATACAAGTTTATATATACGTATATATATTTGTAAGTTCAGTACCTACATAAACATTCTAACATTCCCAAGTTGCAGCCTCGCAATCCTAGGTAGTATTGCAGAGGTCTGAGGTCTCACAGAGCTATAAGGGATTTACCTTCTGAAGGACCACATCTTGGGCTCTAACTCCAGAGGTACTTTAGTATAAATGTAAATATCTGAAGGGGTAGACAGCAGGGAGAGGAAGAGGGTCCCCCTGTACTCCTTGTGAGGCCCCATCTGGAATCCTGCATTCAGGTCTGGGGCTCCCATTACAAGAGCTGTTGCAGTGGGACCAGAGGAAGGCTACAATGATGAATAAAGGTCTGGAGCACTTCTCCTATGGAAATAGGTTGAGGGAGTTGGGCTTGTCTAGTTTGGAAAAGAGAAGGCTCTTGGGAGACCTCACTGCCACTTTCCAGTACTTGAAGGGAACTTACAATCAGGAGGCAGATCAACTCTTCACACAGCCTGAAAGTGACAGGACAAAGCTAAGTGGCCTTAAACTAAGAGGGGAGAATTAGGTTAGGTGTTAGGAAGAAATTTTTTACTCAGAGGGTGGTGAGGCCCTGGCACAGGCTGCCCAGAGGGGTTATGGATGCCCCATTCCTGGCGGGGCTCAATGCCAGGTTTGAATGGGATCCTGGGCAGCCTGAGCTGGTGGGTGGCAACACTGGCCATAGGAAGGGGTTAGAACTAGATGGTCTTTAAGGTCCCCTCCAATCTAAGCCATTCTATGACTGTCTCATAATTAGCCAGAAGGACATGCTCGCTTTTCTCATTATCCTTTTTAGAGTTCACCTGTTAGCACTGCTTGAATCAAACCTTCTGCTGATAATACGCTTCGAATAATCTCAATAAGTCCTGGGATAGCCTTTAGCACTACCACAATGGCAAATTCAAGGCAAGAAGCATTACACAAACAAGGCCTGAATAATTGCTAATCAAGCACACAGCTGTATCTGCTTACAGCTCTTCAGTTTGTGCTTGAAAACCTTAATCCTCTGATAAGGTCCTAGCAGAGCACTATTAATTCCAGGACTTCTTTTCTTCCAGCTAAGGTAGTTTTGTACATATTATTTCCTCACGTCTTTTGCCAGTTAGGTTAAAAAATACTCCAGTTCCAACGAAACAGCATCATTTTATCTGATATGTACAACTCCATTACTAAAGCCCTCCATTTTCTCTTTAGTCATTCTTATTTACTGTTTCTTCCAATCTGTTAATACCAGGGAACGTAAGAGGTCTAATCATTAAGAGTAATCAGGCCATGCACTCAGCCCAACCCTATTAAATCAGATGGATACTATTTAATAAAATGTGCAGCAGTGCACATCACGAATTCTCATAATTAGAACACTCATGCATATGTATATTGCCATATAACTTATGGGGAAAATTTGTTTTGAAAGCTAAGACAAAAGCTTGTTACCATGGCAAACATGAAGGCAGCCACACTTGGCATTTGTGGTTTTCCATAGAACACCATTATGGAAGCCTGAAGGAGAACTCACTTCTCCTGATTCCCAGCCTTATGCATTATTCACTTGCCTTTCTCTTCTTCTCTTCCACCTGAATTTTATAGAATTGGTTCAAATGAAGGAATAAAAACAAAGGTTTTCCATGCGGTATCACTTTCCCTCACCAATCAAAGAATTGTTAACAGTATTTATCAAGCTTTTTGAAAACAAGTACAGACTAAAGTGAACCCAGAATAAAGCCTCATTGACCAGTATCTTCAGCTGCAATGAAAAATCTCACGTGGGCACAAAAAGCTGAAAGGAGTTGTGAAAGAGGTAGAGCGAGTCAATGGAATTACAGAAAGTCTTTGCTATGAAAAGTAATTGAAGACAGCTGGCTGGAGGAATAGCTGCTCTTCCCATTAATCCCCTCATAAGCCATTTAATACAGCCCTTAATCACCTTTTATAGGATTCCACAAATGTAACTGCCTCACAGAATTCTTATTTTTTAATGAAAGGACTCCGAAAATCTCAATTGGATTATGAACCTTTTAAAAGTTTCTCCAAACGAGCAGAAATGCTTCCCTCCCATGGCAGACAATGGGACACAAATCTTAGAGAAGAGGTATAAAAAAATAATTTTAAAAAGTCTCATTTATTTGACACCCACACATGCAATAAAGTAAAATTATCTTAAAGGGCTCCCATGCCCCAAGATATGATAAACACAAAGGAATACACCTGTTGCATGAATATTTAAAATTCTTATTTAGCACTATTAGCTTTCTGACAGCATCTGTATAAAAGACAATCTCAATTCACAGTAACCACGGCAGGTTTTGTGTAACAATGGGAAGATGACATTTATAAACACCTACACACAAATTCAGCCCAGATACAGAGGTCTGTGATAACAAATGAATGGGTGGATAACTAGGAACATCTTCTGGGGCAAGCCGTAAGAAATTAAATGCAGCAATCAACTTCATAAATACCTCGGTGTCTCTCATGACACCTATGCCAGCACATCATGAAGGCTTTTAGAAAGCTTTTACAACCCTCCTTAGGTTGATTGCGTGGTACATTACAACCTGATAAATGTTTGAGGAAAGAGTATTTGGAAATGGCAAGCATTTCTGGGATCTGACAGACGTTGTGAAATGTCACTATTTGCAGTTACAGTCAGCTAAGGTCTTCTGCAGCTTCCTAGGAACAGAAGGAACGTTGTTAATATCAGAAAGGTTGCCTAATTAAAGGTGACTAACCACTGCCATTTTTAGGTCAATGTGTATCTGAAAAGACAGTCATCTTCTAAATCACAGGAGCAAAAAGTTTAGCACTTACTACCTAGGTCACTCTGAAAGTAATGCCTCCAATTTCCATGGAAACCACAATAGATACAAATAGCACAATAAAGCTATTTGATAGAGCACATTCTCCACTACAAAACACTCTTTTTCAATGTAGCCACCACCTGTAGCTCTGCATTTTCATCAGTGATGAACAAGAGCCTGCATGCTGCGCTCATGAAAATCTGTACCAGCAGAGGTGACCCACTGTTGCTATCTCTGCTGCTGAAAAACACCACCCACTGCCTCACCGTGCTCACATCTACTCTTTGGTCTCCATCAACGTTTAGCAAGCATCAGTGAACGTCAATAAGTGCCATTTTTTTCCATATGGAGGAATTCAATAACACACCTTTGTTTCATATGCACTTCTACGTCAGAAGTCATTTCTGTCAGACTGCCCTTCTGCTGCTATCTGTCACACAGCAAAAAAAAAAGAGAATATTGGTGGGAAGGTTCAGCTTCTACTGCCATACCACCAACATCTGCCTCTGATGTTATGGGCCGACATAATAAAATAGGAGGCACTATTTTTGGAGCATCCCTTGCATATTGTGAGGCAAGGTGAAGTCATTCCACTAGTCAGACTCCAATGTCAAGTAGTTAACCTCAAAACATAAAGTAGTCTACTCATGGAAGTGCAAGCCATATGGAAGGAAAAACTGACTACTGGAAATTTTAGGTCCTTAATGAACTGCTTTGCAAATGAGTATCAAACATCCTTAAAGACTTGAATTTCTAAAGGAAAAGCAGGCAATGATCCTGAAATAACAAACTTAGTGTTCTTGATTACAGTTGATCAAAGGTGATCAAAGAATTTCTTATGCTCCACATTTTTGTTAGTAGTTCAAAGAGAAATAAATTCTCTGGAGGGCAACTGTGAGGAAAATCAGGGATTGTAACATGAGTTTCCTCTTTGAACATAAAAATGGCAAGAGGGAAAGAAGAAAATAAATGAGGATAAAACGTAAGAAAGAGTGAAAGGATCAGAAAATTCAGATTTCTATCATTCTGGTCACTAGGCACCTCCAACCTGCCTGAACAGCATTTCAGTGGAAACACTGATCTGTATGACATGTGAAAATGAAGAGCCCTGGAAGACAGAACAGCAGGCAGTATTACTTTCTACATTCTTGTGTAGGCCTTAGGATGTTAGGATGACATTTTCTAAGTAGAGTTGGTTTAATTAACACTGCTGAAAGACAAACTTCTGGGGGTTTCACAGCTGGCTTACAGGAAAGCATAAACGGGTCCATTTGATATTCCTGCCATTAGCTACTACAAAATACACTGGGAACAAAACAATAAGAAAAGATATTCAAGGAACTTTTTGCAAGCTCTTGCTTTAAAACAAAAAACCATGTATTTTTTTCACAGCCATAACTCCAGACCGGTCTGAAGCTGCTTCTGGAAATCTCTGCAA